AGTGTAACATCAGGATGAGCTTATATCTTTAAAAATGTCAATAGTTCACAAGATACAAGGTCGTTTCTTAATTATGTTAATTTGCACTGAGTTTCTTAACTATTGACATTTTTAAAGATATAAGCTCATCCCGACAATACACTCATCAAAACCTTTTATTTGAAAGGTCAATCGATGTTTCATATGTTTATATATTTATATATATTATATATGTGTATATATGAAAAATATATGAAAATGCATGTGGGTACTCAAATAAAAGCTCTTTATGAGTGTAACATCGGGATGAGCTTATATCTTTAAAAACATCAATATTTAAGACAGTATGGTGTATTTTAACGAAATTCATTATTTAATAAAGCAAAAATTTAGTTTTATATAGGTCATTCCTAATTATGTATCTAGAGATAGAGCATTTTCCAATTTATATTTATTTCTAATCATTTATTGACAATAATTGTAAATAGGTTAGTGAGGCCTATCGTTTACAGGCCAGTGCACGTACCAGAGAAGAAAATGAACAGCGTAAAAGAGCAGGTGGATCTTTGACAATTACTTATGGCCAGACTGATCCAAATCCTTCAATTATTGTTCCTTCCGCCAGTTCATCAGTGTCTAATTACAAAGCAATGGTAAGGTTTATTGTACGTTACTGTGTATTATATTAAATCATCTATCATTTAAAATTTATTTTTTAGGGAAGTTCAAGTCGGGCTCCTATTTCACTGTCCCAAGTACTTGTGGGGGTTGAAGCTAATCTGGTACCTAATGATGAAGACTTTCCCGAAATTGGTTCATCTAAATTCAAGTCACGTTCTAAAAAAAATTAGGCTGTCAAAATTACGCATTCAAGTTAAAGGACTATTTTTCTAAAACGAATTATATTTTATAGTTCATTATGAATTTTTTTACTTTTATATTCAATACTTAACTAGATTATTATTATTATTATTATTATTATTATTATAATAATCCATTATTCTTTTTTATAATTGATAATTGAAAACATGAGTGTATGAATTTCTTGCATTTTTTTGCGCATAGTTTTTTTTACACTTAGTTTTTGCAAGAAATATTTCTACATGTATTGTTTATAAGCATTACATAACAGTTAGTATGAATACTTTAATAGAAATTTTTATTTAATTAACTTTACTTTTTTTTTTACAAAACCTCAATCACTCATGTTTTCAATTATAAAGACAATTCATAATTAATATGATAAATAATTTCAATAAGTTGATATTTACACTGTCAAATTTAAGTGCGTGTACTAAGTTTTATTTGTATTGTCTTGTTCAAATACAATCATTGTCAATGTATTTTACTTGGAGTAATTTTTATTGATATTAATAAGAATACTAGCGGACTCGATAGACGTAAACTTATTAATTCTTAATCATTCCTTAATGATTAACATTTTGGTAAATATAAATGCATTCTGATGTTATACTCATCGAGACCTTTCATTTGAGTACCCACATGCACTTTTCATATATTTATATATATGATATATATGAAATATGTAAAATATATGAAAAATTGATGTGGGTACTCAAATGAAAGCTCTCGATGAGTGTAACATCGGAATAAGCTTATATCGTTAAGAACATTATTAGTTAACAAAATGCAACAGTAATTTCTTAATTATTAACATTTTGATAAATATAAGTCCATTTCGATGTTATACTCATCGAGACCTTTCATTTGAGTACCTACATGCACTTTTCATATATTTTATATATGAAATATATAAAATATATGAAAAATTGATGTGGATACGGAAGAAATACATAAAAAGATTTTTATCCTGCTCGGACTAGTTATGTCTTATATCGATTTATAAAAAGATTGAGATATGATTAAATATATTTATATTAATGTTGTCATTAATGAAACTCGGCATAAAATATTCATCCTAGTTGATGCGTTGCTTCTCAATAAATATATCTTCATCTGTCCTTGTTCCATTGGTCTCGTATTTTTCTGCTCGAGTTATGAAATATTTTCACTGAATATTTAATCCACACATTTAATTTCACAGAAAACTTTCAGTAAAAAAAAAAAAATTGCAATTTACTAATTTTCGAGATAAATTTTATTTTTATTTCATACGTACAGAACATAACAGAGTTTCCGGCGACATTTATACAAAATCAAAACAAAATTTAATGAAAAAAAAAAAAAGTACTTATAAAAGATTAAAAAATGTAAGTTGATTATTACGACTTATTTATTTTCTTACATTATTTTAACAGATTAAAACTTTGATATTTGTAATATTCTTCTTTATTAATTAAATTCTACATCGTGTAATAATTTATTATTTATTCGAAAAAGTGAATATATTTTTTGTAACGAGTATTATATAATTATTTTAAGAAGTTATTAGAGTTATACAGAACATTTAAGTACAAATATATACAATACTTCACGAGTTTATTATAACAAAATAATAATAACAATAATATTATATTCTTCATTAGTAAAATGTTTCGTTATAAAATTTTTCAACTATAAATCGTGTACATATAATTTTAAAGTTTTAACTTTCATTAATTAACTTAATTAAACATGTCAAGAGTCTGTAGTTTAGTATACATTTGTAATTTGACTTTATTTTGTTAACAATAATTCGTTTTTAATAATTTTTTTAAGAAGTTTGAACCGATAGAGTGTAAGTACACGGAACTTTTAATTATTATTCGTTACTTATACTCTTTTAATTCCAATTTATTTCTTCATAATAAATAACAACAAAAGAAGAAAAAAATTATAAAATGTACTTACATAAAAAATTAGAATAATAATTACACAAATATTTGACTTAGGTCTAATTTTTATTTCGTATTTTTTAAACAATAATTTCGGACATAATTAATTATTTTTGGCTTTGATTTTCTACTTTTTATAAATTTATTTATTTATTTATTATTAATAATAAATAAATAATAATTAATTAATAATAATAATAATAAAAATAATTAATTATTTATTTATTATTAATAATAAATAAATAATAATTAATTAATAATAATAATAATAAAAATAATTAATTATTTATTTATTATTAATAATAAATAAATAATAATTAATTAATAATAATAATAATAAAAATAATTAATTATTTATTTATTATTAATAATAAATAAATAATAATTAATTAATAATAATAATAATAAAAATAATTAATTATTTATTTATTATTAATAATAAATAAATAATAATTAATTAATAATAATAATAATAAAAATAATTAATTATTTATTTATTATTAATAATAAATAAATAATAATTAATTAATAATAATAATAATAAAAATAATTAATTATTTATTTATTATTAATAATAAATAAATAATAATTAATTAATAATAATAATAATAAAAATAATTAATTATTTATTTATTATTAATAATAAATAAATAATAATTAATTAATAATAATAATAATAAAAATAATTAATTATTTATTTATTATTAATAATAAATAAATAATTAATTATTTTTGGCTTTAATTTTCTATTCGTTATAAATTTTATAAGAAGAAATATTCGGAATAAATTAATTATCGTTTTGAAATTCGTTTTTTTCTAAATCTGGAATTCTCGAGTAATATACATAAAAAAAATTGAAATTTTTTATAAAAATAAAAATAAATAATTAGATAGAATAAATAATGATGGAAAGAAAATGTTAAGGTAGCGGAAAGCGATGTTCGGGCGTAGTTAACGACTTTCTTTTTATTCTACTACTATGGTAATAAATTTTTTCCTCCCTTTTTTTATCTGTTTACTCTGGTAATTTCAAATTCACACGTATTTTATATTTATTAGGCTTTTATTATAATCCCTTGCGCAAGAATCTTGAGATATATGTATTGATTTTTCATAACAGCTCTTTTTTTAATTTTTTTTTTTTAATTAAGAGCTTAGAAGATTTATATATTATATCAAGTGTGCAAATAATAGCCCACTACTAATTCAATAAAAAAAAACTTCAAAAATAAAGAACTAAAAAAAAATTTAACAAATTTAAATGAAATATAAATATAGCTTCAATAAATAAAAAATAAATTTTTTTTCCAATTATTTTCTTCTTTACAGAAACTCATTTTTTACTAAATGTATATTATGAAGAAATCTTTTTTTTAACAGTAATTTTCTTCACTATTTTCCTCTTTAATTTTCTGAATTTAAATCTTTTTTTTTTTTATTTTTAACACAATTATTCTCCCCACATTTATCTTCACAACCGAGTGAACTTGATTTCTAACATACATCTCAATATGTGGTGAAATGATTTGAAGTTGATGTGTTTTTAATATGAATATTTAAAAAGTGAAAATAAACAAATAAATTTATTTATTTATTATTATATTATATTAATATTATATATTATATATTAATAAATAAATAAATAAATAAATTTAAACGGTAAAAATAAAAAAAAAATTTTTTTTAATAAATTACAAAGAAGAAAACAAAAAAAAAAATAAAAAGCAAAATTAATGAAAATAAAGACATCAAATGACTACACGTATATAATATTTTTTTCTTACGTCAAGTTCTGTGACAAGAACATGTAGGGGAGCCCGATCCATTTGTTCCCTAAATAACTCCCATGAGTGTCTTTCAACATTCGCTGACGAAGTCACTATACATGAATAAATCGATAACTATATACCATAACCATCATATTGGATTTATTTCTTATTCTAAGCATTGACAATACACACAGTGATAAATAACGAAGATAATTTAGTTAGTATTTTACTTAAAATCATTCAATACCTCAACGATAGGTATAGAAGTAAAGGGTTTCTTCTCAGTGTGGGTTTCTTCTGAGCACTTTAGTCATTTCCGTCGGCGGAAAAAAATTTCTCCTACCAATCTAAGTGCTGATCAATTATTCACTACATTTTAAGTCGACCTCATTGCCCCTCTTTGGGTGTTCGACGTTTCCACGTTCTGGAACAAAAAAAAAAAATAGAGAACACTTGTTAACTCTCAGGCTGGATTTTTATGAATAATTTCACACTTTTTATTTTATGAATTATTAATTTGGGTAAAAAAACTGCACAATTGGCACTTGCTATTACTAGGGCACTAATGAGAGAAGAAACAATTGTAATAAAATAATAAAAAACGATATAATTTACTGAGAATTAAATGAAAAGTTTCTTTTAGTGCCCTATTTTTTTTTCTTCCCACTGAGTCGGCAAATGAATAAATGAATATGTGTATATAAGTATCATTAAAAAGAAAACTTGATGAAATATTAAGTTTTACATTTATAATTTATAATTATTCGTTGAATAAAAAGTTTTTACAATTGAGGAAATTTTTTTTTTTCTAACTTTTTTTTGGAGAATAAAAATTAAAATTTTTAATCGTAAATTATGTTTTTAACTGAAGATATAATCATAAAAAATTTTTAGAATAATTTTAATGTAAAAATTTGTCTAAATATTACTGTAAAAATTTTTTTTTTAAGTGTAAAAATGATAAATTTAATGTAAAATTTTTTTGTCACAAAATTTTTGATTAAACATATTTAATAATTCTTTACTTTTTTAAATTATTGTATATTTAATTAAAAATTTTTATTCAAAATTTTATAAATATTTTTTTTAAGATAAAATTAAGTTTGTAACCATTCGTTTAAATTATAAATAATAATAATAATAATAATTATTATTATTATTATCGAAATAAAGAAAAATATTTTAATAATTATTATAAATAATAATAATTATTAGCAATAAAATATATTTCGAGGAACAGTCAAAAAATATACAAGTGTACATCTGTGAAAGTAGGGATAGCTGCT